TCTCTCTCTCTCTCTCTCTCTCTCTCCCTCCCTCCCTCCCTCCTTCTGTGTATATGTGCCTTATGTGTGTGTGTGTGTGTGTGTGTGTGGCCCCGTAGCTGAGATTGGTGGCCGGAAGCAGTCCAGGCTGACCTTAAATTCTAGATCCTCTCGACTCAGTCTCCCAAGTGCCAGGATTTTATGTGAACCTTTAGTATTTCAATTTGTCTTTAGCGCTACATGACTCCAAGTTATCATAAAGAACATTTTTTAAACAAAAAGCCTGTCGGTACACTCAGAACCCGTCCTGGCTTCATTCTTGTTCATCTACTTGTGATAAAAATCCACAGCACACTTTCCCTGTAAACACTGCAACAATCTTGGACCAAAAGCAATCCTTTTTGTTTTAATTTATGTCCACTAGGTGGTGAATAATGAAAATGCTAGATTCTAAATTTTAGAGTCTAAAATGAGCAATGAAGACACCGAGAAAAGGAGGAAGACAGAGAAGGACTTGACTCCTCCCAAATTCATTAGAAAAGGACAGAAAGGATAAAGACATTTGGTCAAATGTAGCCAACAGATTTAGGTTTTAATCTTCAGTTGTTATTCCATTGTTTAGCCAGTTGTCCATAACTCCCCAGTGATCCCATTCATACATTTTTTTTTTTCCTTTTGATTTTTCGAGACAGGTTTTCTTTGTGTAGCCCTAGCTGCCCTGGGACTCACTTCTGTAGCCCAGACTGGCCTCGAACTCACAGAGTGCTGGGATTAAAGGCATGCACCACCACCGCCGGGCTTCATAAGCATTGGTGCAGCAGGTTCAACAGATACCACTGGAATATTCTGGAGTACTGCTGTGGAATTGAAAGCAGCCCTTAGTTTCCCTTTGAGTTGGCTCAAAATTCTCCACATAAATTGTAAAGACATCCAACCCTCCCACCCCTATTGATTTGATTTTCGTGGCGCGGCGACACGTGCAGAGGATGGATGGCTATAAAGGCTGGAGCTTTGTGATCCGAGGACGAAAAGAGTTCCATGCCAGAAGCAACTGGGCTACACTGGGCTAAAACCAGAAACAGCCAGAACCCAACCACTGGTTAGGACAGCATCTTTTTTTTTCGAGACAGGGTTTCTCTGCGTAGTTTTGCGCCTTTCCTGGAGCTCACTTGGTAGCCCAGGCTGGCCTCGAACTCACAGAGATCCGCCTGGCTCTGCCTCCCGAGTGCTGGGATTAAAGGAGTGTGCCACCACCGCCCGGCTAAGGACAGCATCTTTATACTACTAGTCCCGACCGAGAGCGGCTGGTTACTACGGCAACCACAAACTCTCGCGAGACAGATCATACGCCTGAGCGGTGAGGCCCCGGAGCTTTGTCCCGCGCTTAGGGATTCTGCGGCGGGGCCGCCCGCTGTCACCAAGCTGCCGCTCCAGTCCCTTAGTGGGCGTGACGTCATGCAGGAGGCAGGCAGGCAGGGCTAGCCTTCTGCGCAGGCGCAGCGCAAGCGCACGTGGAGCCGGCGTCCGGACCCTCCGTGGTGGCGGCGTCGCTGGACTGAACCGGTACGTCACGCGGTCTCCGCAGGGCGCTCCTGCAGAGGTGGGCGCGCGCCTGCGGTCCGAGGCGCAGCCCGTGGGCACCCGGGGCGCCGCGGGCGGGTCGGGTCTCGGTGCCAGGTGGGAAGGGGACTGCGGACAGCTGCGGCCACCCAGTGCCAGGCCCCCCTGAGGCCCTCCCCGGCTCCTCTCAGTCTCCTTCCGGAGGTTTGCCTCGTGTGGGGTAACGTGGGTACCCACCCCTGCGTCTCCCGAGAGCACCGGAGCTTCTCTGCTGCCGACAGCCTTTCCCAGGGCCCTCCCCAGAATCGAGGTCGTTCCGGGATGCCTTTCTAATCGCGCCACTCCACCATCCTGTCCTTACCGGGAACTCCAACCCTAGCGTCTCTGGCCCAGCGACACTCAACTTGCTTTAGTACTCTTCCGAGATACCCCGCTGCCCGCTTCCTACTTCGTTGGGAAGGAATTCTTTCCATAGCGTTCATTTCCTCCAGAGAGCCGCCTTTTCCTGACCCTCTCAACTAAGGCCGCTCCTCTCTGCCCCCTAAGATACCTCACTGTCTGTAATGTGAGCCATTTTTATTACCTGCAGAGGCTTTGGCTTTGCACAACGCCTAATGGCCCGGGGCATCCAGGATAATCCCTAAGAACTTGAAGAAACGATGTGGTCTGTGAGTAGTATCCTAGGCAGGGTATACGGTGAATAAGGACATGAGAAACCAGAGGCTTCATTAGATAGCCCGAGTCTATAATATGCGTGATGGCTGAGAAATGGGAGGGTAAAAGGTAAACCTTTTGAGTTTGCAGATGATCTTGTAGGCAGTAGCAGCTTGCAGACATAGATAGCAAGGCACTTGGCAAGTCCACACTGTTTGTCTGTGAAGCAGTTCTTACTAATCAGCATTTTTAAAAATTCATACTGCAGCCGGGCAAGGGTGGCGGCTCACGCCTTCAATCCCAGCACTCGGGAGGCAGAGCCAGGCTGATCTCAGTGAGTTCCAGGCCAGCCTGTTCTACAGAGCGAAATCCAGGACAGGCACCAAAACTACACAAAGAAACCCTGTCTCAAAAAAACAAAACAAAAAATTCATTCTGCATGGCGGCTACCTTATGCAGACTTGGCTTTTTTTCATCTCCTCTTCCAGGTTCTGCATCAGAGAAGTGATCCCAATCTTGCTGCCCCTTGGTTGCAGAGCATCCAAGTGTGAATGTCTCTCTTACACCAATGGGCTAGGCAGATACAAAAACTGATCTGCAGTTTAGTAACAACAGTGGTGTGCCATGCCATTGTCTTGCTTCCTGGTCATTTTGTCTGGGCCACCTACAGCCAGATACCAATTTCTGGCAGTCACCTCACTAGATTTTGATGGTCTTCTGTCTGTTCTTCAATCTCTGAGCTTGTGGGGAGCATAGAGGTAATGAGGGATGGATTGGAAGAGTACAGTCCAGTGTGGGAAAGGAAGAAGTATTCATAGACAGTGTCAGCACTGATGGGACCAAGGTTGTAGCTCTCACTGGAATTCTGGCATTATATGGAAGGTGACTAGAAAGATCAGGGTCCAGGAGTGAGTTGCAACAGCATTTCTCAGGGCTGTCCAGTTTGGAAAGGTGACCTGTTCCATACCAATATTTCCAAAGGTTGGTTCTTTTCCCAGTTCACCTGGGCATCTTTTTACCAGATTATTTCTAAGATGGAGCCATGATTAAAAGGAGTCTTCAGAAAAACTAAGTCTGAGTTTAGGCTGTGAGTCTGTTTCCTGGCTTGTTAGGGAATTGGGTATGTGGAGAAAGTGCCCTGAATTAGAGGAACCTTAATTAGAGGAGTCTTGCTTAAAATTTGTCAACTGGGTCTTTATAGTTGAACTCTAGGAAGGAGAAAACTGAGAAAAGGAAGTATATAGCTGCCTTTGGTTAGGACAAACTGGATCTAAGTGAAAGAATGCCCAACTAGAGAGCAATCAAGAGCATCCTAGTAAGTCTAAGATTGATACCATAGTCTCTAGGAAGATTATGAATAGGCCACTGGCTTCTAATATGCTTTCAGAAGGAGCCCAACCCTTTTATTTCTCCCTAATGGATTAATTTCTCAATTTCATCACAAAATTTTCTTAAGTTTTCGTGAAATTGCCGGCCAAAGCAGTCATTCTTGTAATCATGTGAAGGGAAAATGTGCCTGTATGTTTAAAATGTTTTAGGAAGAACTTGGGGATCATGGGAAGGAGACTTACAAAAGGATACAAAATAGAAGTTTTAGCCATGGACATAGATTACATAGATTTGGTTCTGAAAATCTGATCTGGTTAATTTTGAATCTCAGAGACTACAGGTAAGCTCTGCAGGCGGACACAGGGTCTTGTTGCCTATCAGCAGCTGTGCCTAGAACACCATCTTCCCAATGGAGGAGCTCGTGATTATGTGCTGTTAACGAATGAATGAGGGGCCCTTGATGGTTCAGAGGGTGAAGGCAGTTACCACCAGGCCTGTGACATGAGTTCTACCCCAGATTCCAATGGTGGAAGGAGAGAACCTAGTTTGATAGACCTACTTTGACCTCCACATGTGTTCTATATATGATCGCCAAACCTTGTGTTAGTAATTTTTTAAAAATGAGAAGTCCAGAGTTTAGAAGATGCTAACAAATCTCTTTAGAGTAACATCATTCATTCTCACATTGCCTGTGTATCATGAAAAGATAGGGAAAATTAAAATCAGTTCATTTTACCAGAGAAGTTATGTGAATGGTTACCTGGTTGGGCATATATAATTAGACCTGCTGTAGCACATCAACCAGGAGTAAAAGACAAAACTAGAGAATATAACCAAAATATTCTCAGAACATGCATTGCTAACTAACATGAGAATTTTTTCATCTTGTTTCTTTCTGAAGGGTTTTCAAGATGGCCGCAGCCCCTCAAGCACCAAAGAGGGGATCTATTCGGAAGACTAGACCTCTGGTTGTCAAGACATCACTGAACAACCCGTATGTCATTTCCTGGAGCACCTTGGAGAGAGAGGACATACATTTTATATTACAGACACTCGAAGACAAGTTTAAATTGATTGGCCTTCAGAAAATTGAAGATAAGAAAAAGAAAAAAACACCTTTGGTAAAAAAGCAAAGGTGCAGCCCTGATGTTGAGACGAGTGAGGATCTGAAAGAGGAGCATGATGGGGACCTGCAGGTGTCAGGCTGGACACCCATACATGTCAGAAAACAGCTGGTCATTGGAGTTAATGAAGTCACTAGAGCCCTGGAGAGGAATGAACTGCTCCTGGTTCTAGTGTGCAAGTCCGTCAAGCCTGCCGTCATCACCTCACACTTGATTCAGCTGAGTATAAGCAGAACTGTTCCTGCTTGTCAGGTTCCTCAGCTCAGCCAGAGAATTGCTCCTGCCATTGGCTTAAAATGTGTGCTAGCCTTGGGCTTCAGAAAGAACACCACGGACTTCGCTGAGGAAGTAAGAGCCATCATTCCCAGGGTGCCCAGCTTACATGTGCCATGGCTTCAAGACAGATCCCAAGATCCCAAAGACAATTTAGAGACTGAATCTTTGGAAAGCCAAGACAAAGAGATTTTGGACACTTCCTTTGATGACCTTACAAAACTTAATAAAAGAAAGCTTGCTGAAGGTGGGCAGGCTTCTCCTGTGACACTACAACCCCTTAAAATAAAGAAACTCATTCCCAACCCTAATAAGATAAGGAAACCACCCAAAAGTAAAAAATCCATTTCAAAGTAGTTTATATGAACTTGTCATTTCATGAAAGGATATGGTCTGAATAAGCTTTAAAACAAATAAAGTAGAGTATGTTTACATATATTGTTAGGATCCTGCATGGAGGTCTTCTTTCAGAATGGCAAGTCTTTCTAACTGGGTGGGACAGATATGCTGAAACTTAAAACCATGAAGTAGGGAAAACACTCAAAAACAATGATTAACAAAACCGAAGTTTATTGAGACTAATGTCCATGCGTGTATAAATTCACTGCTTTCAAGGCTGGTACAATGTTTGCTTGCAAGAACATCAGTTTCCTACAGTACTTAACATTTCTCTACCAAACTTGGAAAATGGGCCACAGACATGGTCTAATAAGGTGGATGAAACAACTGGAGAAGGTCCTAGTTGTAAGGGAGAGACACTAAATGCTAAGCAGCACACTGTCTTCAAAAGCGGCATACCATTTTTATGTTGTAGTAATTTGGCTTTCTTTGTAGGTAAGCATTGACACAGGCATGGAGAAAGGCTTGACTGATACAGAAAAAAAAGCCTGATATGGTTATTTCAATAAGAATTCCCTCCCTGCACATCATTAAGTTCCTTGCAATATTGAACATTATCAAAAGTACAGTAGGGGTACAGCTCTGTGGTAGAACATGTACTTATTAGCACACAATCCCTGGCTTGATCCCCAGCACCAAAACAAAACATACACACACCCAAAAAACACAAAAAAAACACCCTCCAAAACTAACAGCAAAAATTACAGTAGCAACTTAGGTGAAATGTAGCAGGAGAGATTCAATTGGTTTTTCAGGCTAGGAAATGGAGCTGTCAGTGCTTTGGATGTGAAATCTACCATGTGTCTGGAAAGTCATTCTGTAATTTAGGAGCAAGTACATAGGATATGAAAACGTTGTCACTCCAAGTTCTGGCTGAACTCATGGGCTGTGCCACCTTTGTTCCATTTACTGACAAATTTCCATTTTGTGAAGAAAAGAAACCTTATAGCACATTTTGGATATAAAGACAGGGCAGTGTAACTTAAAAACAACTCTGCATTTATATTTGGTTTTAACAGCTATTTTATATCTGAGCAGTTGCACTGGTTACTGATTTTCTAAAATATCGAGTGGTCATGTGCTTAAGTTATGAATACATCAATGTGAACTATTACTGTATTTAAAGTGATGAGTTCTGTAACAACTGCAATGTGCAGTAAACAAATCTCTAAAGGGATGGTTTAACATTTTCCTCATGAGGTAAAGAAGCCCATGAAAAAAAATTCCTGACTGGCAATTCTTAAATCGGAAAACTCAATTTGTATAAGATAAAAAAATGAGTGAGATAATTCCCAAAGAGCTGTAAATCCAGATTCACTAAACTTGCTTACCTAATGCTGTCTTTCTAAACAGTGTTCCAATGAATAGATAGTTTTATTTCCTGAAGGTGTTCTGTTACAAATGTCACATAGTTGGGCATGGACCTTATGAAATGAGAAATCTGCCATGTAACAGTACTGGTCCCACTTCTGCACCACTTGTGAGGCCCAGGTGCCCCCTCTAGTGGTGCCATCAAGGATGGCACAATTTGTGGCCTACTTAGTCCACAAACATGGTAAGAGGCCAGATAGCAAATATTTGAACTTTGCAGGCAATACATTCCAGTCTGTCACAACTTGATTTCCTTTCACAGCATGAGGCAGCCACAGGTAGGTCATAAATGAAGATGTGGCTGTATTCTGATAAAACTTGAACTTCATAAGATTTGCATGCTACAAATGTCATTCTTTGGGCCATTTCCCCCAACCATTTAAAACAACGACCACTGTCAGCTTGTGAGCTGTACAGAACAGCCAACAGGTGAGACTCGACCTAAAGTAACATTTGGTGAGTCCTTTCTAGCTGGGAAGGAAATGCTATGTTGTCTGAAGTAGCATTCTGGACTGGAGCAGAGGCACTGGAGTAAAGGCAGGAAGAAGTATCTACTTAGTGGCATCTGACTCCAAGGCCAGTCTATACAATGGCCTTGTTTAGTATTTTATTTTTCCCTTGGATAGTGGCAGCATATACATATATGTACACTGTGAAACTTGTTTTTCAAATTCTAGGTAAAAACAACATCAGTAACAAAATTATGAATACGTATTTACAAGTAAGACATTTTCCATTAGCATGACAATTTTCATGATAAATTAAAGTCAGCATAAAGGGACATGTGCAATTGTGCATAATAAAAACATTCAGACCATCTGTGTGCTGACAGCACTCCTACACTCCTCTGGGCATTAAATCTGACTTTAGAGCTGTTACTTCCTTTCCCTCACACATCCTTGTCATTGCTGAGAAATGAGACTGCAAGCAGCCGCAAGGGCTGGTCAGTCAGGTGTGTACTCTTCAGTGAGTATGCTGAACATTTGCCCCAACTTTGCTTTTGAAACAATCCACTAACCTGCTGAAGATCAAAGGACAAACCTGCATATTTACTAATTTGGCTACTATGCTTACGGGATAGACCTGTGTGTTTGCTGATTTGGCTACTATGCTTATGGAATAATAAATGTGCTAAGTCACTGGTACATTTTCATATTGCTCCATACATAATTATCTACCACATGTCAATTCTATAAACATTCCCAGTAGCATGTAAGGTGATATACATATGGATCCTTGTTCTGTTATACGAGTATATCACCACTTAAACAGAAAAGCAGCAGTGACTCTCCTACCAGCAAAGGTTTTCTTAACATGATGCCACCACTTCTGTTTGGTTCATAGAGAAGCAGTCCCACTTCTAGAGTGGAAGGACAACATCCTCTCTTTACCATGAGAGCTCTGTGGACACCTTCATCCCTCCCACACATCAGTCAACAGCAGAGTTGGCTTCGACATCCTAACTAGAAATGTGTACTATTGGCCATCTGTTCTGATTGTTAGCAACTACTGCAATCTCACTCAACTTGTGCTTTTATTCTTCTTTGGAATGGCAGTTCCAGGACTCACTAAATAGAGTATTAACAAATGAGAATGTCAGCCTTCTAGAAGTAACATATCCATCTACTGTAGAACAAGTCCAACCTAAAGAAAGGAAAAAACAGGATAAGACCAAATGGAAGAAGAAACTGAGTTAAAATACTCTATCTGTGTTTTAAAAAGTCCCCTTGGCTGCAATGCTGGTTATGAGGGTAAAGGCACTTGCCACACAAGCCTTGACCTTAGTTCAGTCCCTGGAGCCCTGGTAGAAGGAGTTTACTGACTGACTCCTCAAAGCTGTCCACCGATCTCCATATATGCTGTAGCACATATGTGACTACACATTATATATACATACAGGAAAAAAAACAAAAAGCCACCACCAACAAAACAATGACAACAAAAAACAAATAGAAAGTCCCCTTCATCCTATAGTAGTAGGGATTGTCTGAGTTAACAGATTCCATTTATAATCTGTCTCTCACACCCACACACCCCCCTGACACACACATACCCAGAGAGAGAGAGATTAAAAACACTAGAAATAGATAAAAGCCCCTTTATCTTGAAGGAAGCTGGTATGGGGCTATCAAAAATAAGCTTACTCACTTTTTCCGAGTCTGTCCCTGGACACCTCCAGTTGTACAAATAATACTGTAAGTTCCCGTCTCCTATACCAAACTTGAGTTTTTCCAAGAAGGTCTTATTTTCCATCAAGTCTAGTGCATTGAATACATCAAATCCTTTCTGCCAATATAAAAAGTTTAAAATACCAAGGGCTTAATGTATTGTGTATATATTCCTGTATAACATTCAATTCCTCTCCAGTAACTTAAATATACAAATCTACAGACTAAGAACCATCTTAGAAGACTATTATGAAGACATCTAGGGAAGGGAGCTAGAAAGGTGGCTCCATGGTTAGAGTCACACTGCTCATGCAGGGGACCTTTCTGTAAGTTAACTAACTTGCTTAGGGAGAACCACGCAGTAGAGAAAGCAATGACACTCACCAACTTGGCTATAATGAGCGCATCATTCATGAGGTCCAGCAGGGGTGTCTCTGTGTGAATGTTGTAGAAGGAATAGGCAGCCTTGAGGCTCTTGTGAGCTGGGTGGTGCATAACCGTGGAGGGGAGTGTGTAGAAGCTCAGGAAATCAGTCAGCTTCCCGCTGGGGCTCTGAGGGACAGAGGTAAGCAACAGCAAGTAAGTGTTTCCTCGAACAAGCATTCTTTCTTTGGCTAACTGATGCTGACTTATGACTTATACCCAACTTTCTGTCCAAATAAGGAGCAACAACTGAGATTTTCCTCTCTGTAACCCAGTTTGAGCCCTTTATGCTGGGGAGAGACCAACAAGTGGACAGAAGTTTATGCAAAGTGCTAGTGGGAGATGTGCAAGCTTCCAAAGCAGGTCCTAATGAAAAGTCTCTCCAGGCCAACAGATGAGTCAATGCCCATGCTGACAGGACAGTGACAGAAACAGATTTGCAGCCTCTAGCTGCGGACCAGAGGCTGCCTTCCCCACTCACACTGAAGCATATATGGGCTGCTAACAGGAGGAGACAGAGCTGTACGCCGAGCTGGCTACTCAGTGGTGAATGGAACACCATTTCAAAGCACATGGTCACTCAGCCTTGGTATCTGGCACCTTTTCTTAAAAGCGAATAATGCGAGCTGGTTACTTTAGGAAAAAACTGACAAGACTTGTTTGTTAATAACATTTACTTGAGTTTTCAGGGTCTATGTTGAAGTTTTAAAGAAGGAAAAAAAACCATCATATCCTCTACTACCATATGGGTACCTTATAATTTTTCTGATGACAAAGGTCTTATCCATGAATGTAATTTTTAAAATATTATCTAATGAAATGTCAATATTTGAAAGTTCTGTGAAACCCAGTATGTCAGTATTTCCCAAGTGGCCAATGCATGATGTTGCAACCTTGTATGTAAGTAAAATTCATTCGAAGAACCAGACGTAAGTTAGTGGTAGGGAATCTTCTTAGTGTGTATAAAAACTGTGCTGGGGAGCGGGGGCACAGAGAGGAGGAAGGGAGACGACATACCAATGAGTTTTGGATCAAGAGAACAGAAAGTTCACTGATAATCAACAGTATTTATAAT